GTTCATGCGCGAAAACTGGCTCTATGTCCACTTCAATGCCAAAATTCTGCCGGTTGAAGTCATCGAGCACGTTCAAAGTTCTGAAGCAGCGCCCGTCGACGGCTGCCTGCATGCTTCGTGTCCGTTGCATTGTGTGACCATGCATCTGCAACAGGGTATTGAAAGCGATCAAATCAGGGCGAAGAAAAACATGCCGAAGATCGGCGGGTTCCGCTCGTTCAACTCAGCCAGAAAAACCTCGCCGGTTTTGAAGCCGCGCTGTGGCTCAAGAAAGGCTTCGGATCTACCAGTCAGTGGAGCTTCCGCAAACAAAACGACCTGATAGCGGTGTTCTTTGAATTTGAAAAAGTTAACGAAGTCTGAAAATCATTCCCGAAACGAGAGAGTTACGTCCGAAAGCAAAATTTACGACAAGACCAGCCCAGTCAGGCATCGGGGAAGGCAGAAATCACGTACCCTGGAAAATCAGAGAACCGAGAGCCGGATCGGCGTCTCGGTCCTCAATAAGTTGACATACCTCGGACACCCTACGTTCGAGCGCATCTCATGATGCCAAAATCCGAGTAAGAATCCCCTGCGTGAGGTTCATGAATTACGAAACACGGTCGGCCTTCGCAAGGTGTATTTTTTTGAACGGTTTTCAGACGTTCATTTCGAGTGCATTCAAGTTACAGATTTTCTATATCATTTTGGCCAAGGCTGAGGCCAATTCTTTATCTTCTTCAGTAGCATTGCGTTTTCCCGCAGTAACGAGCGCATCTAGTGTTTCTATATCTATATCGCTGGCAAGGACGCTTGGAAACAGCCCCGCTTTACCACCTGGTTGCGAAGCATTTTCAATTTCGCTTAGTGTTTGACTAACACGACTAGCTTTACTTACTGTACTCTTGTCGCCGCTGGATCCATCGGTTTTATCGTCCCGTCTGTCAGGCTGTGTCATTGCTTCTTTGTGTTGGGTTGCTGCCAACATGCGAGTAGAAATACGATCCGGTTTCCCAGCACCTCCCAATGCTTGTAGCCCCGCCGGAAACTCCTCTGCAGCCGAAAATCTTGCCGAAATCGGCGCAGCCGAACCGGCATCTGAATCACGGGCCCTCCCTTGCAGAACACCCTCAGGCAGGCCACCAGGTAAGTGTATAGTCTCAGCCTTGGGGAGTTTGTCATCTTGCATGCCCTTCAGAAAATGAGCCTCCCGCGAGCCTCCAGCTCTAATTCTGCAACCCCCGCTTCTCCAATTAATCACTGCACGATTGATATTTGTGATATCATGCTTGCCAAAAGAATATCTTAAAAAGTCAATACTCTTTTTAGAGCCATTACGTGACCATTCTTTCAGAACGCAGTCCAAAGTGAACATTTGTTTCTCAGTTAGTTCAAGATCCAGAGCCTTTTTTACGAGTTCTATGGACGGTGCGCTCCGGAAGGGGGTAAGATTACGAACAACCCAATTCTTCGCCCCGGAAAAAAAGTTGCCGATCGCCCCCCCTTTGGAAGATTCACAACGCACTGGCGGATTTAGCACTTGGGTAATTTGCAATTGGGAATTTGCTTCAATCATCAGATTCACTCCAAATTATATTTACGAAATAGACAGTATGATGCTATGTCGGAGTTGTCTGTCTCGAACGACACGTGGTCGTCAAGAATTTTGGCATTGCCGTTTGTGGACATATTTGGGGCTTGTCGCAAGTTTTGCTTTCGGACACATCTCTCCCGTTTCGGGAGTGATTTTCAGGCTTCGTTAACTTTTTCAAATCCAAAGAACGCTGCTATCAGGAGTTGTGTCGCAAGCTTTTGTCGTAGTCGAAGCTCCAGCTTTGTCTTGACACAGTTATCCTGCGAGTTCCATGAACTGTCGGTAAGCAAGTACACTTGGCCGGTTCAGTTGCCCCTTTCGGATCATGTGCGCTGTTTCAATACCGTCCAGCGTCGCTCTTGCTGAATGAAAGGCCTTGAAGCCCATCATCGGCCTTGTCAGCTTTTTGATAAACAGGTGGTCCTGTTCGATGATGTTGTTCAGGTATTTGACCTGAAGGATGTCGATGAAGGACCACCACAAACAAAGGACAAGCAGGTGGATATTGATATTCGTCAGGCCTGCCAGATTGGCTCCGCTTTTGTCCATCACAACCTTCTTGGGCAAATCGTTGTTCTCGATAGACTTGTTGAAGAAAGCCGTTGCCGCCGCTTCATCACGGGATTCTGACAGCATGAAATCGACCGTATCTCCTTGCTTGTCGACCGCACGGTAGAGATAAACCCATTTACCCCGGACCTTGACGTAGGTTTCGTCCATTCTCCAGGACGAACACAGGGGCCGCTTTCTGGCTTTGGCCTTCGCAGCAATTGTTGGGCTGTAGCGAACGACCCAGCGGTTCAGTGTTGCTTGATCCACATCAACACCGCGTTCTTCGGGAAGTGGTTTCCTTTGAAACTGAGCAACGCTACTCACCTGAAAAATCTGATCGAGGGTGCTCCTCTTAAACCTCAACCCGCGAAAAGGGAACCGACAAACGAAATGTTTGCGACAGAGCCCTTCATCGCTTCCAATCCTTTTCCCAGCCGGGATCCTTTCGCGGAAAACTCCAGTCGAAACGATCCAGTTTTCGGGGATCAGAGCAACCGGTGAAGTTCAAAAACACTTTCAGCATGTCTCAACAAGTGAGCCGATTTGCTGCAAGTCGGTCACTGCAACAAGGCGTTCTTGAGCTGGATCCGTTCCAGTGGCTGTATGTTCACGTCCGGCGTCAACTCCTGGAATGAGAGAACGGGAATTTCCGGGAGATCCCTCTCGATGATTTTGCGCATGAAACGTCTTATGTCCATCGCTGTCACGATCGCTGGCATCATCGCGTGTTGGTTACGGTCGCCAATGGCACTTGAAATTGATCCGACCAGTTCGCGATGCACATCGGGAGACATTGCCAGATACGAAGCGCCACTCGTCTGCCGGACCGCGCCTCGAACCTCGTCTTCAACCTCTTTTGCCAACAGGTAGGCGGGAATGACATTTTGACCACCTGAGAATTTGTAGGTGATATATCGGCCAAGTGCAGCTCGTACATGTTCGCTCAAGATGATCGGGTCTTTTTCTTTCTGACCCCACTCCACAAGCGCTTGCAATATCGTTCTCATGTCACGGATCGATATCTCCTCGCTCACCAGTCTTTGCAGGATGTCGGCGATTGTCGTGGTCGGCAACGCGCGGTTGACTTCCCGAACGAGTTCCGCAAAGTCGGCCTCCATTTGGCTCATCAAAAACATGGTCTCCTGGATACCGACAAATTCGGCTGCATGACTTTTGAGAACATGCGCCAGGTGGTAAGTCAGCATGGCGGAGAATGTCAGCGTTTCTATTCCGGCCCTGTTGGCAGCTGACAGATGCTTCATTGCTACCCAGTAAGTGGGCATGTTCGGCAGGAAATCTTCTCCCTCCTCGAAAGGGATACCGAACATATCAAGATTTGTTACTGTCTCCCTGGCGATAAAGTAACCCGGACGTGCGGTGCCTACAGCAACAGGTATCTCATTCACCATGATACGATATCCTCCTGCCTTGAGATTGTCGTTCAATCTGAGATTGATACCGGGAAAGGGAACGCCAAGATCGAAATAAAGAGCACGGCGTACGCGAGCTATCTGACCGTCCAGCTTGTCAGGGCGGATAGCCCCGCGCAGAGAGGACGATATGTCAAGGATAAGAGGTACCGTGAGCTGAAATGTTATTGGCTCGCTAGGCGCGGCGCCATTGGGCTCATTTTCCGCTTGTGGGAAGGAAGGAACATCCTCACTGTTTGCAATGGCCGGCGCAAGGCTCGGCATGGCGGTGGATGACGCTGAGCGGTTTGCTCGTTTGTGACGACGCATGAGAAGCAGGCCGCCGCCTCCGCACAACATTGCCAACGGAACGAAAACCGCGGCCGGAAAGCCTGGAACGACGGCGAAACCAAGCAATATGCATGCGGATATCATCAACGCCTTGGGTTCGCTTGCAATCTGGTGTGCGATATCACTGCCGATATCCGAATTTTCTTCTGATGATACCCGCGTGACGATGAAACCGGCTGTGATCGAGATAAAGAGAGCTGGAATTTGGGCAACGAGGCCATCGCCGATTGTCAGTATCGAGTAGACGTCCAGAGCTTCAGAGACTTCCATGTTCCGTTGACCTGTGCCGATCAACACGCCGCCGATTATGTTTACGGCAATGATGATGAGCCCCGCAATCGCGTCTCCCTTCACGAACTTCATGGCTCCATCCATGGCGCCGAATAGCTGACTTTCCTTTTCCAGCTTCATCCTGCGGCGCTTTGCGTCCTCCATTTTGATCATTCCGGCACGCAAGTCTGAATCGATCGACATTTGCTTGCCCGGCATGGCATCCAGCGAAAAACGCGCCGCAACTTCCGCTACGCGTTCGGAGCCTTTGGTGATCACGAGGAAATTGACAATTGTCAGGATCAAGAAGATTACCGCGCCGACAACGAGGTCGCCTGATACAACGAATTTACCAAATGTTTCAACGATTTTCCCTGCGTCAGCCTGAAGCAAAATGAGCCGTGTCGTTGTAATTGACAGTGCCAGCCTGAACAAAGTTGTCAGCAGGAGAATGGAGGGGAATGCCGAAAACTGTGTAACTTCCTTTAGGTAAAGTGCGGCCATCAAAAGGATAGCAGACATCATCAAATTCAAACCAATCAGAAGATCCACGATGATCGTAGGCAACGGCAGCACCATCATGAAGATGATGCAGACGAGTAAAAACGCGAAAATTAGATCGTTACGTCTCGACATCATTTTCAGAAATCGAATCATTTCAGGAATCATCCATTGTTAGGCAGGTCTTTTGCCGCCAGATGGAGACTCAATATTGGTCGTTTGGGGTGTGCCGCGCGACACACCGCAGCAGCAAATTTTCAGGTACGAGGATAACCCGGTATTCAAACTCAATCGTTGCCAAGCAAATTTTAGGAAGATGTTATCAGATGTCGGGTCCAGTCATGGCGGCTATCAATCGTATTGTTACATCGGAAGATCTTCAGATTCTGGTGGATGCCGGGTTCATGGCAATTTCGCAAAACTTGCTGCAGCAAGCCGACGGGATCTTCGAGGCGGTGCAGGTTGTGCGTCCCAATCAGGAAGCCGGTCATTTGGGCCGCGCAATGGTCCGCATGGCTGCCAGTGACTTCGATGCGGCAGTCAAGATGCTGAAATCGGCCCCCGATACGAACGCAACCAAGGTTTTTCTGGGCATCGCATTCATCCGGCAGGGCGACACCATCGCCGGTGTGGAAATACTGCAGAATTTAGCTTCAGTTGAGGAAGACACGCCGTTTCGAAAAATGGCCGTGGAAACGCTGGCGGAGCTACAAGGCACCAGCCATGGCGACAGGATAGTCGCGACCGAAGCAGGCTGCGACAGGCCGTAAACCCTACCGGCCCGCTGTCATCGAAAGTTCTCTTGCCAAGTTGGATTAAGAAGGAAATAGACTGATGTCATTAATGAATGTGCAGCCGCAAATTGATACGAAGATGATTGCACCTGAGCTGTCCGCACCTGGTGCAAATATGCCAGGGGCAGGCTCTTTGGCGTCGATCAACCGTTTTGAGGCGGCGCTCAAAGATGCCGAGAGCGCGGTGTCGGTGCAGGCGATCACTCACACCAATGCAGCTCCTCCCAACTCTTTTTTGTTGGCTCAGACGGATCAGATTACTGCGCCCGCCTCTTCCTCTCCCTCACGGACTTACGGTGAGATTGATCTAGATGCGACATCTCGGGGATTGAGGTCGGAGGCGCCGGAGTTGCAGATTGGTGAGCCGTCAGCAACCTCCAGGGTCGAAAGAGACAATCGAGGTGAGGCGATCCTCGACGGGTTGAGCAGTCTACGCAGCGCCTTCGATGCTCAGGCGGCCAGGGTAAGTGAAATCGCAACAGGCCCCGCCAGCATTTCTGAAAAACTGGTCCAGACGCAGGTTGAAATTGTCAGGTATTCCTTGCTGATGGATGTGTCTTCCAAACTAACAGGGAAGTCCACCCAAGCCTTCGATACATTGTTGAAGGGGCAGTAATCCTGTGAAGCAGGCAAGATCTAGGTTTAGGAATACAAGAAAAATAGCGACGGTGCTGCTTGCTATCTGCGCCCCCCTGTTTCTCGCTGGCTGCAAAAGCGAACTCTATTCGAATGTTTCGGAGCGGGAAGCCAATGAGATGCTCGCTGTTCTGATGCAGAATGGCATCAGCGCGCAGAAGGAAGATGGCAGCGAGCAAGGTGTGACGCTTACAGTGGCGGATTCTGACCTTGCCGATGCCATAGGCATACTCACGGACAATGGCCTGCCTCGAAAGGATACCGATTCCATAGGAAAGGTATTCGAGAAAGGGGGGATCATGTCGTCGCCTTTTGAAGAACGAGTTCGCTATGTCTACGCCCTTGGAGAGGAAGTTTCAAAGACTTTGGTTGAAATTGATGGCGTCTTGTCAGCAAGGGTACATGTTGTTCTTCCGGAGCAACCGAGTTTTAGCGAAGAGGCAAAACCTTCGTCTGTTGCAGTGTTTATCAAACATAGGCATGGGGTGGATCTGGACTTCTTTACCCCGCAGATACGGCGCCTGGTAAGTAAGGCGATCGAAGGTGTTGACTACGAAAATGTGACGGTTGTGCTTGTGGAAGCCGAGGGTCCCCAGATCTTGGCATCGCAGGTGAACTCACCGATCGCTGAAGTGTTCCCGGGTCTTGGCGTCAGATCAAGTGATGCGGATCATTTCCGGAACATCACTATCATTGCAGGTGTCGCGCTAATCGTCCTTGTCCTGTCCAACATTGCGACACTATTTGGTTTCGCCCGGGCGCGCAGTGCACTGCAAAGTCACATGTCAGGCGAAGAAACCGACCATGGCGGATAAGCCGATCACAAACCATGCCGCCTCACATCGTGCCCCCGATCGATACATCGTTGGGCAACTCGCTCAATTGGCAGAGTTTGTTTCAAAGCCCCTGGCCTTCGTTCATGAAGACCACCTTCAATTGCCTCAACATATTGTCAGCAGCTTTTCAGAATCGCTCTTCTTTCAAGCGCCGATCAACCGGGCGATTTCTCGAACTCTTGCCCTCTCGAAACTGCCCTTTTCGAAAGAATTGCGAGGCAATCTTGAAGCAAACGAGGAAATGAAGACTGTCGTTTTTTTGCTGAACTCCGACTTGGCGGTGATCATGGATCTGGCACGGCATTGTGCAGCAGTCCAGCTGTTTCCGCAGCTACGCTCCTGCGTGGCACGTCCACAGCGAGAAAGTATCGCGGCAACGCTTGGTTCTGACGTCTTTTTGTTCTCGATGCGGGAAGCCGTTGCTTTCTATCCATCTCTCGCCGAACGAAGCGGGGCGTTTCGATTGGCTGATCTTGAACAGGTGGGAGAAGAGGCATCTGAGATTTCGGACCAGTCTACGTCCGCACAATCTTCAGGCCCGATTTCTCAACTTGTCTGGGAGGGGCTCGCCACCCTGATTGCATTCACGAGACGTATTGATCCGGCATGCGCCAAGCTGCTTGGCTTGCGGTTTCCGGAGGCTCCCGAGACCTGCGAGTCTGCGAAGCTGGAAGTAACAGAGAAACAGGCAAAGGAAATAAAGGCGCTCATCAATCGAAGGGAATTGAGATGGTGAACCAAATCTACCGTCCTCGATTTTACAACCTGGCCGTATCCAGTTGCAATGGTGTGGTGAAAGCGCAGGAAATGGCGGCCCTGGATGAGGCGAGTAGCATCATAAATTCCGCTCAGGAAAAAGCTGATGAAATACGAGCGGCAGCACAAGGACAATATGAACTCGAGAAAGAACGCGGCTATCTTGAAGGACGGGAAAAAGCGGAGAAAGAAGCATTTTCGCGACAAATAAGCGACCAGATTTTTCTCGACAACAAACTGAAAGAACTGGAAGCCGGCCTTGTGAACGTCGTCATGATCTCGGTTCGGAAGATTTTCTCCGGATTCGATGATATCGCGCTCTGCGAGAAGACTGTCGGGAGCGCATTGCAGAAACTGCGGCAAAGCAACCAAATTAAGATCAGCGTGTCTCCGGCGCTTGCCAGTCATCTAGAGCCAATGACAGATCGGCTAAAAGCGGAATTCCCCAGTTTTCAATCCATGGAAATAATTGAAGATTCAAATATTTCTTTCCCAAATTTCGTTGTGGAATCGAATACGGGTAGAGTTGAATTTAGTCTTGGTAGCAAACTTGAAGAATTGCAGGCAGTAATCACTGAGGTCGTAACTGGGAACTTCCACGAGATCCCTGGCGTCAAACTGGACGAGGCCGCTGCATGACACAGTGCGCCAAATTGTCACCGTCGGACAAAAACCAAAAGCAGCAATTAATCGAGGAGCGTTTAAGCCGATTCTCGACTGCTGTCATGACAAAGATCAATGAATTTGATCCCTATGTCGCCAGCGGACGGGTCACAAAGGTGGTGGGCACCATTGTGCACGCGACAGTTTCCGACGTCAAAATCGGTGAAATTGCCGAACTATATACCCGCTCTTCCGGGGAACGCTTGTTCGCGGAAGTGATTGGGTTTGCAAATGGTGAAGCACTGCTGGCCCCCTTTGGCGAAATTCATGGTGTAGCGCCCAGCACGGAAGTTTATCCAACCGGAGAAGTGCTCCGCGTCCCTGTCGGCGAGAACCTTCTCGGGCGTGTTCTCGACGGGTTGGGAAACCCCATTGACGCGGACAATAGACCCTTACAGCCAGAGGCTTACTACCCGGTCTATCAAGAGCCACCGACGCCATTGAAGAGGCGTGTGATCAATCAGCCGCTTTGCACAGGCATTCGCGCGATTGATGGGTTGCTTACGCTGGGTGAAGGTCAACGTATGGGTATTTTTGCCGCCGCGGCCGGCGGCAAATCAACCTTATTGTCAATGCTTGTCAAGGGCGCTGCCGTGGATGTAACCGTCTTGGCCCTTATCGGTGAACGCGGACGTGAAGTTCGCGAATTCATTGAACATAACCTTGGCCAAGAAGGGATGAAGAAGTCTGTCCTAGTTGTCGCAACATCCGACAAGAGCCCCATGGAGCGTGCCAACGCCGCATTTGTGGCGACTGCCATTGCAGAATACTTCCGGGATCAGGGAAAGCGTGTCCTCTTTCTGATGGATTCCGTGACACGCTTCGCGCGCGCGCAGCGCGAGATTGGTCTCGCCGCAGGGGAGCCTCCGACGCGTCGGGGTTTTCCTCCCTCTGTTTTCGCCATGCTGCCCAAGCTCCTGGAGCGGGTTGGCATGAACGACCAGGGCTCCATCACCGCAATGTACACCGTGCTTGTGGAAGGTGATGATATGAATGAACCAATAGCGGACGAGACGAGGTCGATACTGGACGGGCACATAACTCTGTCTCGCAAACTGGCCAGTGCCAACCACTACCCGGCTATCGATATCCTTCAATCGAAGAGCCGTGTCATGGATCTCGTTACCACGAAGGAACACAGAGAGTTGGCTGCCCAAGCCAATAAACTCATGGCGGACTATCTGGATGTGGAACTGCTCGTAAAGATCGGTGAATACGAAGCAGGCAGTGATCAGAATTCAGACATTGCCATTGAGAAAAACCAGCCGCTCAACGAATTCCTGAGGCAAAGCACGGACGAATTCAATTCAATCGGCGATACCCTCGAGAAGCTGCGGGGCGTACTCAATTGATCGAGAGAATGGTTCCACTGCACAAAGCTAAGGTCATGCGCGAGAATGCGGCGCTTCGTCGCCTTCACGCTGCCCGAAATGCGTTGAGCGAAGCTTCGCAGTATCGGCTCGAATGTGAGCACGCGGTGAAAGAAAACGCACAGACTCTGGCTCAGAGAGAAGACGCGATTTTTCGAAGGGTCATTAAGAAAGTCGTTGGCTCAAGTGAAATCGACACCGTCAAGGAAGACGTACTTCAGTTGCACAAGGGTCACCAAAAGCTCGAGGACGAACTGGAAAACGCCACGCAACAGCAACAGAAGTTGTTCGGCGAAGTCGAAGAGGCGCGCCAAGTCCATTCAACTGCCCTCCGTGCCCTTCAAAAATTTGACTTGGCGCTAGAGGAGATCCTCGCAGCGAAGGTTTCATTCGAGAATCAAGCCGAAGAAGCCGAGACGGAGGATGTTTTTGGTAAAGGAAGGCGAAGTTTAGCATGATTAAAACCTTCGGTCCCCAGGCAGAAACACAAGCATTAAGTCGTACTTTTCCGAAAGCTGTTCCAGAAAAATCGAGTAGGGACGGTTCCTTTACCAAGGATGCCAGAGGAAAAATGCAGGACCAGCAACATACGGCAGGAAACAAAGGAGGCGGTGACGCAGGCCTGTCTCATCGTTTCACTCTGTTCGAGCAGAAACTCGAATGGGCCGAGCAGAACAGACCCTTTGCCGACACTGACGGTCAAGAGGATCAAAAC